AAAAGGGCAACAAATATAGGTTGCTATAAAAGAAATTAAATCCAGGCCCTCTATGGTAGCATTCTCTGAAATGCTGCCAGTTCCACACGCAGGGCCACGTAGGCAGGCAGAACTTCAGAATCTCAATGAGTGGATGAGATAACGGTATATGAAGGAGGAATTTAGATTTATTAAAACTGGGGAAATTTTTTAGATAGGGGGAGCCTATACAAGAAGGATAGGCTCCACCTAAACCAAAATGGAACCAGATTGCTGGCACTTAACATTAAAAAGGCCGTAGAGCAGTTTTGAAACTAATGGCTGGGGGGAAAAGCTGATGGGTGAGGAAGACCACTTGGATTAGACAGAGACATCTCTTAGGGGAGGGTCTATTAATAGAGATTCTCGATGTTCTAGTAAGGAAGAGAGGATGGAAAATGATAAAATATAGGTAAGATAAGAATCAAATGAAAAAGTCTAAAACATCAGGAAATGGCAGACAGATAAATAGTGACACATTTTAAAGTGCGTATAGACAAACACTAGAAGTCTAAATAATAAGATGTGTGAACCAGAAAGTCTGGTGTTTAAGGATATTAATATAATAGGCATCACAGAAACTTGGTGGAATAAGGACAATCAAGGGGCATAGTCATACAAAACATATTGGAAGGACAGAACAGCTTGTGCTGGTGGGGGAGGGGCACCATACATGAGAGAAAATGTAGAATCAAATAAAGTAAAAATCCTAACTGAACCAAAATGTTCCATAGAATCTCTATGGATAGTAATTCCATGCTCTAATAAGATGTAGCAGTAGGGCTATATTAACGAACACCTGACCAGGATACGGATAGTGACTATCAAATGCTAAGGGAGATTAGAGAGGCTATTAAAATAAAAAACTCAACAATGGCGGGGGATTTTAATTATCCCCATACTGACTGGGTACATATCACCTCAGGATGGGATGCAGAGATAAAATTTCTTGATAGCATAAATGACCGCTTCTTGGAACACCTGGTTCTGGGACCTTCAAGGAGAGAGGCAATGCTTGATTTAGTCCTAAGCGGAGCACAGGATCTGGTCCAAGACGTAAATATAACTGACTCTTGTACATTTCAAAGGTGGAACGCCACTACTGTGCCCCTGACACCTCCCACAAAGCCGGGGCTAGGAGGAACTGACTTTTAAGCCGGCTCCCTCACCTCACCCTTCTCTTCCCCCTCCCGCTTGCTGGCCCTCCTTTCCCCAAGATGGGCTGTACTGAGCCCCAAGATGGGCTCCTAGTCCCTGTAACAAAAAGTCTGAGCTATGTTGTGTCCCTGTGAACCAATAAAACTTCTGTTCCACCTGCTGGCTGAGAGTCAGATGTGACTGCGGATAGGGATGCAGGGCCCCCACGATCTGTGACAATAGTACACCCACATCTTGAATACTGCATACAGATGTGGTCGCCTCATCTCAAAAATGATATATTGGCATTGGAAAAGGTTCAGAAAAGGGCAACAAAAATGATAAGGGGTTTGGAATGGGTCCCATATGAAGAGAGATTAAAAAGACTGGGACTTTTCAGCTTAGAAACAGGAGACCAAGGGAGGATATGATAGAGATCTATAAAATCATGACTGGTGTGGAAAATTGAATAAGGAAAATTCATTTACTTATTCCCATAATTTAAGCAGTGGGGGGGGGGGGGGTCACCAAATGAAATTAATAGGTAGCAGGTTTAATACAAACAAAGGAAGTTTTTCCTTCACGCAGCACACAACCAACCTGTGGAACTCCTTGCCAGAGGAGGTTGTGAAGGCCAGGACTTTAACAGGGTTCAAAAAAGGACTAGATAAATTCATGGGGATAAGGTCCATCAATGGCTATTAGGATGGGTAGGAATGGCACCCCTAGCTTCTGTTTCTCAGAAGCTAGAAATGGATGATAGGGGAGGGATCAGTTGATGATTACCTTTTATTTTCACTCCCTTTGGGGAATCTGGCATTGCCCACTGTCAGCAGACAGGATACTCGGCTAGACGGACCTTTGGTCTGACTCAGTATGGCCATTCTTATGTTCAAGGATGAGCAGACTTTGGGGAGGAAGTTGGGGTGGGTACACAGAGAAATCTTGCCTTTTTATATAAAACATGCAGGCAATGTTGTCGGGATATATTCTGACATGTTTTCCAGAAATCTCTGGTAGCAGGGAGGCTATGAAGGTTATCAAATCAAGCTGTGCACCAATGAACTGTATGTATTGTGTCTGTGTGAACACTGATTTTGTCTCGTTTATTAACTGACCCAGAGAGTGGAAGCATTCCCTGACCAGTTAAATACTTCAACAAGAATGATGCTCAGTTCTTGTCTTGATGAGGCAATCATCGAAATAAGAGTAGATAATTATGTCTTGCTTCCTCAGGTGGGCAGTGAGGTGAGATGGGGTCTTAAGCCGGGGATTATAAGAAACTGAGGGGAGGGTAGCCGCACATGTGCAGTTGTGCCATGCACCACCCACACACCTTGCTCGCCATGCATGCACGTCCCTCAGACACACTTCTCTGAAGAATCCAGTTTCCAGCGCAGAGACACACCAACACTGCTGTAGAGCACCCACAGGGATGTCTCTTGGGCTGTGTCTAGACTACATGCCTCTGTCGGCAGAGGCATGTAGATTAGACACATAGGCAAAGTCAAATGAAGCCGCAATTTAAATGATCGCGGCTTCATTTACATTTACATGGCTGCCGTGCTGAGCCGACAAACAGCTGATCGGCTGTTTGTCCGCTCAGCGCACTAGTCTGGATGCTCCCCTGCCAACATCAAAGCCCTTTGTCGGCAGCCCCGTTATTCCCTTTGATGTCGGCAGGGGAGCGTCCAGACTAGCGCGCTGAGCGGACAAACAGCCGATCAGCTGTTTGTCGGCTCAGCGCAGCAGCCATGTAAATTTAAATGAAGCCGCGATCATTTAAATCGCGGCTTCATTTGACTTTGCCAAAACAACAAATCTACATGGCTCCGTCGATGGAGCCATGTAGTTTAGACGTACCCTTGAAGAAAAATAAGTTTGCATGCTGTCATTTCCTAGCATGTGAATTTGACAGAAGTGGACCTACTCTGTAATAATTTATGAATACTGTATATTGACTCTGTTAGAGAGATGTTTGCTATACAAATATATAATTTGGTATAAGAGTCTATAAGGAAAAGCAAGCAGGAAACAAAACTATAGCTCAAAATAAGCAATCCCACAGTAAACACTTAAAGGTTGTAAAAGACAATGTCCAAACTACTAGGTTTGATGATTCTCCCATCTGGATCCAGCCAACTTGCAGATCTACAGTTTTAATTATCAAAGCCAATGCCAAGAAACAGATACAAATTAAGTAACATAACAAAGCAGTTCTCCAACTTTAGCAAATTGAGGACCCCTGTTTTACCAGATGCTCTGCCCTTCACTAAGGCTTGAACTTGTTCTGCCCCTTTTCCAAAACTGTCATCCCCCCACTCACTCCATCGCTGCTCCCTGTGTTACTTGTTCTCTCCCACCCTCAGCACTTTTACTGAGTTGAGGCAAGTTTGGAATGTGGGGTGGGGAGGGTGGAAGGTCTCCGAGCTGGCACTTTAAGCATGAAGTAGTATGGGCTCTAGGAGCACGTTTGGGCATGGGAGGGAGCTCTGGACAGGGGGAAGGTGGTGGTGCAGGTTTCCAGTGTGCTTACCATAGTTCCCAGAAGTACCTACCTATGTCTGTGGCTCTTTGCATGGGCAGCCAGGGAGGCTCTGCATGCTGCCTTTGTGCATGCAGGCACCACTCCAAGTTTGTGGCCAATGGGACCTGCAGAGCTAGCACTTGGGCAGAGGCAGCACAGTCTCCTGCACGTAACAGCCAAGACAGGGACCTGGTAGCCACTTCCAGAAACCATGCAGAAGAAGAGGAGATAAGGAGTCTGCCTTAGCCATGGGCCCACGGGTTACTAGCAGGGAGAGGGAAGGCTCCCTGGAGTTCTGTCACACACATTCAGGGGTTTGTAGACCCCACTTTGAGAAACACGGCTACAGAAATTTTTTAAGGGACTATCAATAGAGAGAGGTGTTTACTGTGTAGTAGCTGTTGTGGGAGAGCAGAATGAGGGCAAGTCTACATTTACCAGGAGAGATCAGCAATGTGACAATCGATCCCATGGGGGTTGATTTAGTGGTTCTAGTAAAGACCCACTAAGTCAACTGTTGATAGCTCTCTCATTGATTCCAGTACTCCACCAGAATGAAAGGCATAAGGGAAGTCACATGTAGAGTGGAGATCCCACGGCAACTCGACCTAAGGTATGTCAACTCCAGCTACACTATTCACAGAGCTGGAGTTGCATACCTTAGTTAGACATTGCCCCATCGTGCAGACCTGCCCTAAAATAGGTACCCACTCTCCTGTCTGAAGAAGCTAATCTATCTGAGAGTTCCATCAAGGGATGGCAAGACAGACATGAACACGTTTGGTTTTTTTTTTATATACGTTGTTCCTCCTGTTATAATACAGGATACTTGGGTTTAGAGAAGGTTGTTAAGTTATTATACTATACTACACCACTGTTTGAAACTCCTGGAAGGAAGAACCACAGATACTAAATCTGTTTGGACCTTTTGGATAAGACTGGTTGACACACAAAGTAATGCAGCCAAGGCCTAGTCTAACAAAGGGACAATCTAAAGGCATGGAAAAAGGACCTAAGGGAGTGCACTCAGAGATCCAAAAAAGAGGACACAGATATAAGTGTGATAATGAATTACTTGAATTTGTATGTATTTTAATGACACGTGTGTGTGTGTGTGTGTGTGTGTGTATAAATAATGTCATTAAAACTAATAATGAATTACTGTAATCTTTATTTATTTTAATGACATATTTACACACACACACACGTCATTAAAATACATACAAATTAAAGTAATTCATTATCACACATCTGTGTGTGTGTGTGAGAGAGAGAGAGAAAATACACATAAAATGTACTGTAGATAAAAACAACATACCTTCTGTCCCATTATTATAGGGAGCAAATGGCCCAGTAAATTGAATTCAGCCATAGAGACGGTAATGGTGCACTTAAGAATGGTAAAACTTGTAAGTCGAGTTGGAACGTATTCCTCCAAAGATGTTTTTTCTTCTGAGTTTGGTGTAGTTTTATTTCCTTCCACAATATCTAAAATTAATAGGATTACACAAATTTGACATATTATTAAAATAAATAAATAAATTGCCTTAAAATCATCTAGTCTGACCATCTACGTAACACAAGCCACAGAATTTCCCAAAAATAATTCAGAGAGCATATTGTTCAGAAAACCATCCAATCTTTATTTAAAAATTATCAGTGACTGGAAATCCACCACCATTAGTAAATTGTTCCAATGGTTAATTACGCTCACTGTTAAAAATCTATGCTTTATTTGCCATCCGAATTTGTGTAGATTCAACTTCTAGTCATTGGATCTCTGCTTTTCATTTTCCTCTGCTTGAAGAGCCCATTATTAAACATTAGTTCCCCAAGTAGATACATGAAGACTGCAAATAAGTCACCCCTTTACAGAACTTCTCTTTGTTAATCTAAATGCATTATGTTCTTTTGTTCTTATTGAACTCTCTGAGTATCTTTCTAAGGCAAGATTTCTAATCCTTTAATCATTCTTGTGTCTCTTTAACTGTATCATCTCCAATTTATCAACATCCTTCTCAAATTGCGGGCACCAGAACAGGAAAAAGTATTGCAGCAGTAGCCATACTTTTACAAGAGGTTTTCACTAGGGATGTCAACATGTAGTTGACTATACAATTAACGATAAGCCTAGGCTTATCAGTTAATCTCATCAACTATATGCATTTCCCCTCACCCTCCGCGCTGCCTCTGTATCAGAGGAGCACTCAT